GGGTTTAGAGCCAGGGAAGTGAGAAATAATGGCAAACATCTACCACACAAAGTATTCAGGAGTCTTATGAACAGCATACGATAAGGGCTCAGTTGCTTAGTTTAAAAAGAAGTTAAAAAAAACCTCAGAGATGACTCCAAATGACATCATCAGAGAACAATGACTACTTAAAGAATGAGCCAAAAATGGTTACAGGGAGCATCATCAGAAGAGGGAGAAAGACAGATCACAGACTCAGAAATGAAAGGCTTCGGGGGCCATCTGGACCCCCCTTCCACCCCCTGCAGGAACTACTTCTACTACCAGATGAGGGAAGGCTCAGGGAGGTGTCAGCATGGGCTTTGCCAGATGACAACACAAACACCGATTGCACCTAAGAAGGAGAATCTCACCCCTTCTATTTTTCCATTTATACAAATGGCATCACTAATCCTTCAGGCTCATCTTTGATTCTTCTTCCTCCGCTACTTGGATGAGTTCGCAGCTTCAATTGACTGGCCCATTACAGGTATCTCTCCAATTTGTCCAACTCCATGGGCTTCCCTCATAGCTCAGTTGGTAAAGGAGACCCCGGTTCTCAATTCCTGGGTTGGGAAGATCCGCTGGAGAAGGGATAGGCTACCCACTCCAGTATTCTTAGGCTTCTCTTGTGGCTTAGCTGGTAAAGAATCCACCTGCAATGTGGGAGACAGACCTGGGCTCTCACCCTGGAATGGGAAGGTCCCCTGGAGAAGGGAAAGTATTCTGCCCTGGAGAATTCCATGGACTGTATAGGCCATGGGGTCCCAAAGAGTAAGACATGACTAAGTGACTTTCACTTTCACTTTTCATTTCATCTTTGTGTCTAGATTCCCAAAACTGCCTCCTAGACTGGTGGTCCCCAACATTTTGGGTACCAGGGGCCAGTTTCATGGAAGATAATTTTTCGATGCATGGCTAGGGGTGGTTTCGGGATGATTCATGCACACTATAATTACTGTGCACTTTATTTCAATTATTATTACACCAGCTCCACCTTAAATCATCAGGCATTAGCTCCTGGAGGTTGGGGACTCCTGTCCCAGATGATCTTGCAGCCTTCCATTTGTTCTTTCAGACCATCCCCATATTACTATAAGATTAACCTTCTGAAAATGTTTTCACCAAGTTATTCACCAGCTTGGACAATCATAATGACTCCCAACTTCCCACTGCATCAAATCCAAACTTACCTGCAGATACAAGTTTATTGGAGCCTCTAACCCATAGACTATCTATGTATATCATTCACTAACAATGAAGAAACATAGTCCACCATCTTCTAGCTAGTTTAAACCACTTAGGTCTATGATTCTGCATGAGCAAAACCAATATTTCTAACAATTCTCTCATGAACCTTATCTTCTCTGCAGCTAGGCACAGCATGTTGAGATAAGGAATTCTAGAAAATGCCATCTTTTCAAGGAGTGTAGAAGCTTACATCTCTGGATCTTCCACACTTCCTCGGGCTGTTGCCTAGATCTCTTCTTTGCCTCACCTCTCATTACTTCTTTATAAACAACCTTCTACTCTCCCCTATGAGCACATTCTATTATTTTGCCTTCTGTCCTTCTTACACACTCTCACTCCTTCTTTTCACTCTGTAACAAAGTACCCTTTCTAACTTTAACAACTTACCTTATTGACATTATTTCTGACCTAAAAAAATAACACCAAGATAGTTCAGCCAACATCTATGCCATTGGCAAGCCTATGTCATAGGCAGAGGAGAAAAGGACATGAAAAAGAAAGGATGAAGAAAAAGTACTAGAAGAAAGAAGTTGGGAAAAGCAAATAGTAGTAATTACTACTGTTATCAGTAATTACTACTGATATTACAATATCAACTGTTGACAATGTTTCAGATACTTTCTATCCAGCCTCAAATCAGACTTGCAAGGTTGGTATTGCTATCTTCATTTTTTAAATGAGGAAATGGAGGTTTAAATGACCCACCCGAGACTGTACATCAGGTAAAGGTCAGAGACCAGATTGCATCACAGGTGAATTAAGCCCACCGTCTTGCAACTAAAGCATATGACCTCCATAAAAAAAAGAGTAAGAAGAAAAGAACACAAAGTGGAGACAGGTAGGGCCTTACCAACAATTGCTTCAAGTGCTACTCAAAAATAACAGCATCATTGCTGCTGCTGCTAAGTCACTTCATCATTAGTTACCAACAATTATCTAGAAATATACCATTAAGTTTTTGGTATGACGAAATTTAAGATTTCCTCTTATTCATGTATATGCAAAGTCCTTTAGCATGTGAACACTCATACTTGCAAATCCTGTCAAAAAACATGTATTGCAATTTATCTCCGTCTCATCTTTACACTCGTGTCTGGGTTACACTGTCCCTTTTTAGCTTTCACCCATGCTAACTTTTCAAGATTTTCTTTATTTCTTCCTCTTTCTTTCCTCTTAATCATATTTCTCATCCTCTTCCTTACATCACTTTTCTATCAGCTTCTCCTCTTTTTATTTCTCATCTGCCTCATTACCTACACTTTTCTCTTACTTCGAGTGTTGTTGCATCCAGCAGGTTCTCAGTAGATATCTATTTTGAGCTCCATACTTTTCTCATACCTGCCCCACCACCACCCTTTGTCTTTGCCTTCCTCATCATTCCTCCTTCTCCACAGATAGTTTCCACCCTGCTCCCTCTCAATCGCCCACACCCCTTCCATTAAATCACCCTACTTCCTCACAAACTCCAGGGGTCATCTTATCCACCTCTCACTCCTTTTCCCGCCTTTTCCCCCTTAGGTTCCAAAGCGCGAGGACCTCATTGTCCTCCTCCCCCATCTTCCAACCAGCCCACCAGACAGCCTTGTTTCCATGACGACAGGGCTACTCAAAGCTGAAGTCAAGGACCTGGTTGCCATGGCCACCGCTTCTCCGCCTCCGGCCCCGCCCGCGCGCCCCGCAGTGTCGGCGCCTGCGCAGTACGCAGCGCATTGGTTCCCGGCGCCCAGGCGGACGGGGCGGGGCTTCCAGCGAGAGGGAGGGAAGGAGGCGAAAGGGTAAGAAAGGGAGTGGAGCTGGCGCCTACGGTGGCCGAAGAGGGACACGCAGGGCCGGAGGCTGCAGGATGGTAGGCTGTGCGAAGCGGGAGGGGAGGGGGGACCGAGGGGCGTGGGCTGCACCTGCAGGGGTCCTTGGGGGCTGCCCTCTGTGAGAGACGCTCTTTTCCTTCTTCCAGTTCTCAGAGGCCCTCACTTACCTGGACGGGTGGGCGAGCCGGCCTCGGAAGGAAGAGCAGCTGGAAATGGCTTTTGGGAGAAGCGGCGGGGAGTGGGCGCATTTGTAGGGCGAGAGGGAGGCGACTAGGGAGCGGCAGGACCGTCCGGAGCCAGGGGCAGCGCGCGGGTCGCGATTTCAGGGGTCCGAATCACTGCCGCAGGGAACTCGCGCGAGGAATGGGGGCTCGGGGGCCTGCTGGCGGACGGAGGCGGCGGGGGTCGCCTGTCTCCGAGACGCTCCGTCCACGTGCAGCCCAGAGTGGAGCGGCGGCCTGCGGGGAGGCCGGTGTGTGGGAGGGGATCGTTCCGGGTGCGAGGCGTGGACGTCCTGCCTCGGTTTGTCGTCCTGCCCACCTGGAGGCGGGGATGAGGTGGGGGAAGCCAGGTGGGCTCGAGTTTTGCTCTCTGGGACCCAGGCTTTGGCTTCCCGGCTCCGGTGCTCTTGGCTCTCCGCCCCCCTACCCTATCCTCTTTCCGGAACGCAGGCCTTCCGTCTTCCTGCTCCCTGGTCCACCCTCCCATCCTAGCCTCCCTTGCACCACTCTTTTGCCCTCCGGCCACGCTAGCAGCGCTTCCCCTTCCCCGCGAGCAAAAAATACAGTTCTCTTGAATTCTGATCTGTAGCCGTCTAGGCTAGCAGTGTTCCATACACCCAGGACTCCAGCCCTGGTGGCATGCACGGAGAGAAGAGCTACAGGGGGAGGGAGATGACTCCAGGATGTGACCTGGCGCCCCCACCCCCTGGAAATGGGAAACTGGGGGTGCACGGGGTAGTGAGAGCTCTGCACGTCTTCCCGCTCCACCTCCTGTGCTTGTTCCAGGAACATTCCCTAGGCGAGCCACCCAGAATGGCTGGGTCCAAACTGAAGAACTGAAAGGGAAATTGATCACCTGGTATCTGGGGAGGTGTGGGCATGTTAGGGAGGCACCCTAAAAGGAAGAAAAAAGGAATACCTCTAAAAAAAAAAAAAAAAGGAATACCTCTGGCTATATGCCTGGATGGCTGAGTAGAGTGGAGGGTGGTGGAATCTAGGGGGTCCTGGTATCTTGTGCTAACATAAAGGATACCACTGGGCATAGGAATGGAGGGCAGTGTGTTGGGGACATTGGCTAGGGTATATGGCTAGGATGGGGCAGAGGGGTAGCTTCTTGGAAAGAAAATACCTGATTTTAGGATGGTGGTGGGTAGAAAGAGCAGAAAAGAAAGCAGACATCTCTTTGCCATCAACTAAGGGGCTGCTAGTCACTGTGCTAGCATTTTACTGACCTTTGGAAACCAGGTTTAGGAAACAGCAAGTCAGGAATAATAATAATGACATCCAAGGTGTTATAGTGCTTACTTCGTGCCAGGTGCTATTTCCTATGTCAGTTCCACCTAACAATTCTGTAAGGTAGGTACTTTTATTATTTCCATCTGACACACGAGGGAACTGAAGCCCAGAGACCTGCAGTAATGACCAGGGCAAATTTCTCAACTAGTAGAGCCAAGATTCAAACCCACACAACAGACTCAGAAACTCTGACGCCCCCTCCAAGGAAAGGCACTGGCTGATGGGAATCCCCAGTTGACGAGAAGGGCTGATGTTTTGAAGAAAGTAGGGTCTATGAGGAGAGAAGAGTTGAATGGGAGGAGTTTGGGACTGTGTGGTTTTGGAGGAAACAAGCTCAGAGACCCAAAGCTCTACACCTCCGCTCTGACTCCTCCTTCCTCTCCCTACCCCCCCCCCCCACCCCCAGATGCGGTTCATGCTCCTGTTCAGCCGGCAGGGGAAGCTGCGGCTGCAGAAATGGTACCTGGCCACCTCAGACAAGGAGCGGAAGAAGATGGTTCGCGAGCTGATGCAGGTGGTTCTGGCGCGCAAGCCCAAGATGTGCAGCTTCCTGGAGTGGAGGGACCTCAAAGTTGTCTACAAGAGGTGACTCCTCACTTACTTTCAGGCCTGCCTGGATCCTGCCTGACTGGGGTCTGGGATGGGTTCACCTGGCTGGCAAATGGGCAGTCCTGTACGTCTGGCAGAGGTTCCCTGGTGCCTCAGACAGTAAAGAATCTGCCTGCAATGCAGGAGGCCTGGGTTCTATCCCTAGGTTGGGAAGATCCCCGGGAGAAGGGAATAGCTATCTGCTCCAGTATTCTCGCCTGGAGAATCCCATGGCAAGAGGAGCCTGGCAAGCTATAGTCCAAAGAGTCGCTAACACTTAACTAACTAGGTCTGGGAGAGCTGAGAGCCAAGGACATCTGGAAGGCAGTGATGAACTCCAGCCATCCTTTACTTTCCAAATTCACCTTGAAGAGATTCTTGTTCCCTTTTGGTTTTGCTCAAGCCTGGTGCCTACTTCACACACCTACCCTCTGTCCCAAAGGCCCAGTCTTACTGATTGCACACATCCCTTGCAGCCTCACTGAACAATCGTAGACCCTGTGCCACTTTGCCAATTCACACACTCACAGACACACAAACTCTTTGTGGTTCCTCCTCTGAGCAGGTGAATTTGTTGGCTCAGGTTTTTGCTGAGTCAAACTGAATGGGTCAGAGGTCAAGAGGGAAAGAACTTGTGTCTTTGCCTGTGTTTATGAGAGGCACTAAGAGACACAGTGAATTACTATTTGCTTACCCTGGATCTACCCCACCTGTGTCCAGTAAGGACACAGATCAGGAGTTGGGGGAAACGGGAGGTTCGGGCACAGAATGCCTGGGTCCCGAAGCAGCCCCGGCAGCACTCCCAGCCATCCATCCCTCCTATGTCCCTGTCCTCAGATACGCCAGCCTCTACTTCTGCTGTGCCATCGAGGGCCAAGACAATGAGCTCATCACGCTGGAGCTGATCCACCGATATGTGGAGCTCCTGGACAAATACTTTGGCAGCGTAAGTCTCTCCACCCACCCGTTTCCATGCCCGGCAATCCCCTCTTTCTACCAGACTCTGGGACCCTTCCAGTCTCTGTCCTGTCTCAGGAAAGGGGAAGTTGGAACAGTGAGAACAGTAATTAATCTCCCTCTTTAAGCCTTAAGCCTATTAGCCATGCCTCTTAATCAGCCCACCCCCCCACCGCCACAGGAGAAGGGTGGGAACCAGAATCTGCCACAGCTCAAACTTCCCACACAAGGTCAGAGGCCACGTTCAGATAGTATCAGTGGTTCCTGACCTTGACTTTGCTTTGGAGTCTTCTGTAGAGTTTTTTTTAAACAATAGTGATGCCTGGGTATCATCCCCAGAGATTCTGAATGAACTGATCTGAGCTACAGTCTCGGCACTGGCAGTGAGCTCATATCTTAGATGGGGAATAGTAATAACTCCATGATTTGTGTTTCAGTTAACAGTTTACAAAGAGCTTTCAGGTTCTCCTGTTTGCTCCTCATTCCATGAGTAGGTGTTGGTGTCTCCATTTTTGGAAGAGAAAACAGACTCAGAGAAGTTAAATGGCATGTAGAGTTAGCTAGTTTCCTTCTAGGCTTTCCTGGCTCAGTGATAAAGAATCCGCCTGCCAATGCAAGAGACGTGGGTTCGATCCCTGGGTTGGGAAGATCCCCTGGAGTAGGAAATGGCAACCCACTCCAGTATTCTTGCCTGGGAAATCACATGGACAGAGGAGCCTGGCAGGCTACAGTATATGGGGTCACAAAAGAGTCGGACATGACTTATTGACTAAAATAAGAGTTAGCTGGTTAGTGTCAGAGTGCGGCCTAAAACTGAAGTCATTTATTCGGTGATCCAGAGTCTCTGAGTTCCCTGCTCTGTCACAGCACCTGGGGGTACAGGGGGTGAGGTGGGGATGGGTGGGGAAGATGACCCAACCTCTGGTAGGATTGTGCCATAGATTTAGGAGAGAAGGCAACAGGAATCAGGGTCAAGGGTAGAGTTGAGCAACTAATATCTCATGATCACAGAGGGAGACGCAAGAGAAGAAGGAAAAGCTGAACCCAGGACGAAAGCCTAGGGGTCGGGAGGATATAGATCTGGGGCGAGAACCCAAGATGGAGAGGAGTGGTCATGAAGGCCACAGAGCCAAGGTGGGGAAAGAGTTGGGGAGGCTGGGGTGCAGGTGAGGGGGGAGAAGGCACCTTGACCCTCACCTCTGCCTCCTCCCCCCACCCCCAGGTTTGTGAGCTGGACATCATCTTCAACTTTGAGAAGGCCTACTTCATCTTGGATGAGTTTCTGATGGGGGGAGATGTCCAGGACACCTCCAAGAAGAGTGTGCTGAAGGCCATCGAGCAGGCAGACCTACTGCAGGAGGTACGGGTCCGGGACAGTGAGGAGGAGGAAGAGGACCGTGGCCGAGGGCGCCCTCCCTACCCTGGACCCCTCGCCTGCGGACCCCCGCTGCCCACTTCCCGCTGCTACCGAAACGGCCCCCCTCCCTGTGGCGTCTGGCCGTCACGCTGCCAGGCTGGCCAGCTGACCCTCAAGCCCTGACTGCTCAGGGTAGGAGGTAGTGGGGGTGGCAGACAGCCCACCTGGACCAATTCCCCCGTCCTTCTTCCGAGACCCAGAGTGTCTCATCCCAGCCAGATCACCTTTGTCCCATGCTTCTCTTGGTCTTTAGGGTTGCCCGGAGAATTGGGGAAGGGGCACACAATAGGTCATTCTTTTTCTTCCCTAGGGTTTTCCCTTTTTGTAAAACACACACACACACTCAAAGCCTCTGCTGCTGAGAAGCAGAGTTTTGCCCTGGGGATTTGGGGGTGGGGCTGAGGGCACCTGGTTGTTGACTCTCTCTTTTATCTGACACCCCCGCCCTCACCCCATTACTGCCTGCCCCCTCTCTGCTGTGCCACCGCTGAGCCTTGGTGCAAGGAGATGAGTCACCGGAACCTGCAGTGATGAGCAAGCCAGCCTGAGCTGGCTCTGAGGAGGGGGAGAGGGGGGGGCTCATCCATGCAGCAGGAGAAAGGGTAGAATCCGACTTGCCACCTCACTGGTCCAGCTCCCCTCATCTCTCTCTCTCTCTCACACTCACACACACACACACACACACACACACACACATGCCCTGGCGCTCACACACCCACCCTGTTACTAGTGCTCTGCTCAGACCCTTATGACTCATCTCTCTGCAGTCTGGTCCACCTTTCCTCGGGGACCTGATGCCAACTTCTTACCGCCTCCCCCGACTCTGGAGAAAAAAAAAAAGGTCCCACCCAACCATCTGCCACCTCCAGCCCTGGGAAAGCAGGTTTCCCAGCCCCCCCAGCCCCTGTTTTCCTCCCTTCCCTTCAGCAAGTAAGGTCAAGGCCCCTGCTCACCAAGCTCCTGGCTTTGGGTTCTCTGGGTGGTGGTGGACTCAGCCTGGTGGCCTCGGTTGGCTCTATAGGGTGGTCTCAGGAGGCTGGGGTGCTCCCCTGAAGGGTCCCCAGCCATTCCAGCCTTGGGCTTACTTGGGCTTCTCTCTCCCCTCTCCCCCGTGTCTCTCTGTGTCCCCCCCACCCACCCCGGTCTGCCCTTGTGATTGCTGCCCTCCCTGCCCCCCTCACCCTTACCCCGTCTCTCCTGGTGTCTCCCCATCACCCTGTCTGTCTCTGCCTTAGGAGGATGAGTCGCCACGCAGTGTGCTGGAGGAGATGGGTCTGGCATAGCCCCCGCCCCGGGGCCGAGTGGAGATGTGGGGATCTGGTGCAGAGGTGGGGCGTCGGTGGCCCTTTCCCTCTTGGTGGGACCCAGCTGCGCCTGCTCTGCTGCCTCACCTTTTTCTGCAGTGAGCTGTGGGCTCAGGACCCTCAAACATTCCCTCCCTCCACCCCCTACCTCCTGTTTCCCCTTTTCCCACTGAAGGTTTTAAGGAGCTAGGAGGCAGGAAAATGTGACCAAGTCGGGGGTGCTATTTGGCTTTCATTCCCTGCCTTTGAAGAACCAGTGTCACCCCAAACTTCCCCCCACCTTATAACTGTAAATATATAAATATGTCAGGTTAAAGGGAAAAGGTTTTCAGGGCTCTTCTCTTCTCCCTGCCCCATAACCTACCTCCAGCCCTCTCCGCTGCCAGCTGGGGGAGGGCGGCCTCTCTGCCTGGGAGGGGGACATCTGTGTCTCTAGAGGGAAGTCCTTTTCCCTCATCTGCCCCTCCCCTTCCTTCTTGGCTGCAGTGGGGCCTCTGTCCAGTGCCCGGGGAGGAACAACATAGTTAATTTTTTTCTAACCTTGCTACTTTGAGGGAAGGGAGGACTGGGGAGAGGGCAGGCTTTACAGAAGACTGGGCCCTGTCCCTCCTTCATTCTTCTTCAATTCTGGGTGAGGCAGGAGCTAAGGGGGTGGGTGGGGAAAGTGTTTGATTCTTTTTCCTTCTCTCTGAAATAAAAGGAAAAGCATTTCTGGACTTTGGCTTGCTTAGGCTCTGTGAAGGTAGGCAGGGCTGCTGGGATCAGTGAGGACAGAAATGGAACCCTGCCCATTCCATTCCACTCTTCCCTGGAACTAGGATTGCCCAATTCAGGGTCAAAAAACAGAAGAGGACACCCAGTTCAGTTTCTTATAATAATGAATAATGATTTTTTAGGATAAGTATGTCCTATGCAGGGCTTCCCTGGTGGCTCAGTGGTAAAGAATCCGCCTGCCAATGCAGGAGACTCAAGTTCAATCCCTGAGTCAGGAAGATCCCCTGGAGAAGGGAATGGCTACCCACTCCAGGATTCTGGCCTGGGAAATCCCATGGACAGAGAGAGGGTCTTGGCAGGCTACAGTCCATAGGTTTGTAAAAGAATTGGACACGACTGAGCATGCATGTATATGCTTAGAAAAGGTTTGATAAGCAGCTAAAACCGGAATGTTTCTCTAGCTGCCAACACCTCCCCATAGGAGGTGGTGGTCTTGTGAAGTACCGAGGACCAGGGAATTTAGGGAGCAGTTAAGGAAGGTGGGTGGGGAAGGTGGAGCAGGGGCGGTGGGGAGCCCCCCATACTGCCTGAGTGGGCCTGAGATGGTTCAAAGATCTTACTAGGTGGCCCAGAGCTGCAGTTCCTTATATACTCTGCATTTCTCTGCCCAGGTCGTGGGGTCTTGTGACTAACGGTCAAGCTGGTAGTGGAATTTAGGGCTTTCTAAAGGATGTGAACCTATTCTACCCCCGCCCCTCAAATACGGTTGAAAGAGATTCTATCACTCAACCCTCGCTTTTGAGCAGGAGGTGGCTGGCGCTGCCCTCACCGCCCCTTGGGAAGGACCACACAGGCCCAAGGGGACGGGTGAATAACCGAGAACAAAGTCCTAATAAAATAGTCACTTTTATTTCTTAGCAAAACTATTTCCTCCGTGAGGGGTATTTACAACAGAGTTAGGGAAAGAAGGGGTAAATTCACAGCGATCCAGAGAGGGAAGAGTGGCTCTTGGGAGGCCCAGGGGGAGGGAGACAAGACGCTTCACACAGTTAACTGGAAATGCTTCTTCCGGTTTCAGATCGGGACATCCCGAGAGAGGGACTAGGTGGGGACAGGGTCCCGCACGGGGAGTCGGGGAGGTGGGGGGCAGGGAACCCGCACAAACTACCCGCCCTCCTGTGCCGGCCCCGGGACCCCCGCGAATGAGTTCGAGGATTTCGGGCTTCCCACCGGCGATGAAGTCGTGACCGGTCTGGGCGCAGCGCGGGGGCGGGGCGGCCCGCGGGCGGAGGGGGGGGCGGGGGCGGGGCTGAGTGGCGGCCGAGGGCGGGGCCGGGCGCATGCAAACACCGAGGGGGAAAAGAGGGGCTACACGGAGGGGGACGCGCGGGGGCGGGGCCGGGGCCGAGGCGCGTCACGGGCGCCGGAGCAGCACGTGCTCGATGTAATTCTCCAGCTCCTCCTGCTCCTGCAGCCGGCGCTCCTCGGCCTCCGCCTCCTCCTGCGCGCGCCGCGCCTGGGCCTCCCGGTCGGGATAGTGGCGCGAAGGCGGCAGGGCGTGGTGGTAGTGGCGGCGGCGCGAGGCGGCCGGCGGCTGCAGCGTCCGCGGCCGGATGTAGTTGGGAAAAGGGTGGTAGGGCCCGGGGGAAAACACCTCGTCCTCCTCCCGATCCCACGGCGGGAGCACCTCGTTCCAGTCGGGCAGCTCTTCTCGGGCGGGGGCGGGGGCGGGGGGCGGGGGCTGCGGGGAGCGGGCGTGAGTGGGGGCCGGAGCGGCCCGGGGGGGCGGCACAGGCTCGGGAGGGGCGTTCTTCTTCCGCTTCCGCTTCTCTTCCACCTCCTCGATGATGCTGACCACGTCGTCCGCGGGCAGGTGGAGTTTGGTGGACAGCTCAATGAGGCTATCGATCGTCTGCGGGTCCATCTCTTCGTCGTCGTCCTCGTCCTCCGCCCCGCCCTCCTCTGCCCCCTCGGCCTCCTTTCGTCGGTGGCCGGGCGTCTCCTCCTGGGAGCGCTTGTCTTCGGCTCCGGCTTCGCCGTCCTCCTCCTCGGCGAACAGGAGCGCGTTCTGTCTCGCCCTCTCCGCCTCCTCCGCCTCCGCCTCCGCCTCCGCCGCCTCCTCATCCTCCTCCCCCACCCTCTCCTCCCCGCCGCGTCTCTCCTGCTCCGCCTCCTCCTGCTGCCTCGCAGTCTCTTGCCCGCCCCCCTCCTCCTCTTGCAGCCCCCGACCCCCCAGGCCGCGCTGCCGAGCCCCGCCCTGCAGCAAATACTGGAGCAGCAGGTCGGAGGCGAGGTCGGCCAGCCGCTCTTCCTGCGCCGCCGCCTGCCGGGTGGCCTCCGCCTGCCGCCGCCCGGCTTCTACCTGCGCCAGCCCTTGCTGTAGAAGGCGCTCCCCCGCCTCAGTGCCGCCCAGTAGGGAGGTCTCCGGCCGGCGCGCCTTGGGAAAGGGAGCGGCCAGGCCTTGGTACGCCTTGGACAAGGGTGCCAATGCCTCACCTAGGTGTGTTTTGGGGGAGGACCCTCCTTCCCCGAACTGGTGGACATTGGGAAGGGGTCCGCTCTCTGGCACACGCGCCTGGAATTGCGGGGGAGCAGGGGGCGGCAGGGGCGCGCGCTCTGGGACGCGCGCCTGGAACTCTCCCCAGGAAGCGCGCCACACGCGCTCCGGCCCGGGGCTCTCCAGGTTGACTCGGGTCAGCGTGTGCGTGCGGGTTTCCGTCTCTGCTGCTGCCGTCTCTTGCTGACGTTTGGCGCTGCTCGGACTGAAATCTCTCAGTTCCTGAAGCAGGGAAGCTAGCGCTTCGAGCTCCTCCGAGGGGTCGGCAGCCTCGGCACCATTCTCCTGAGTCTGAGGGCGAGGAGGGGCCGCGGGCGCCTGGGTCTCTGGCGCTGGGAGACTGTGGGTCTGGCTGCGCACGGTCTCGGTCAGCAGAGATTCTGCTGTTTCTTCCTCTGGCCGCTGCTGGGAGCCGCCGGGCGCCGGGGGCGAGGCCGGGCGGTCGAGTGCCTGCAGCAGCACCGCGGCCAGCGCCCGGGGATCCACGCCCTGGAAAAGCTCTCCCTCGTCCTGCGGCTCTGAATTTCGAGCGGCTCGGACCTCTAGGGTGCTAACATCCTTCGGCCCGAGCACTGCGTCCCCAGCTACCGGCTCTTTATGCTCAGAGCTGGGAGGAGGTGGCTGAGCCTCAGGGTGCCCGGGGGGCGCTGCTCCCAACCCCTTGATCAGTAGGAGCAGGAAGAAGAGGATAGTAGCCGGCAACCTGAGCGATGTCATGACCGAAGGACTGTCGGAGACTGAAAAAAATTAAAAAAAAAAAAAAAAAGAAGGGACCAAAGAAAGAGAGGGTTTCTGTAAGAATTTTTCCGCTCTCTGATTTTATATCCCCTTCCCCCATATTTAATCAGGAAATCCAGGGCTTCCCTTGTCCCCCTAACCTTACCCAGAAAAGGGACGTTTAGGAGCAAAGGAGGACGATGTTGTGCCGATCTCTGGAGTCGTGTAAATGGGGAAACGCCTGCAACCCTTGCTCCCCCAGTGCCTCCTCGCCCCCTTCCCTGAGCCATCTCACTGCCAGCGCCCACATACTAAGCAGCCAGGATGCAGGGGAAAAAAAAATCTGCTCCCTCCCTGCAGGACTCCCCGGATGGTGCGTGGGCGACTTCAGCAGCAAGAGAAAAGCGGCGACTCCCCCATTTACAGGGACCCTTCCCGGGGGCTCCCCTCTGTGTTTTCAACACTCCCATCTGTGGGGAGAGAGAACCCTCCCTTCACGCCCACGACTGCCGAGGGTTTGAGGGACGGACAGCAGAGTATTTACCAGCTGGTGCCACGACGCGGGACGTGGAGAGGAGGGTCGGGGCGGGGTGGGGACAGGGGAAGATCGGGACGCGTCCGCCTCGGCTCCGAGCGGTGGCTAGGATACGAGCGATGGTCGAGGTCTGGCGTCCAGTGCGCTCGGCTCAGCTGGGTCCGCGCGGCTCCGGGAGACTCGCTCGCTCAGGCTTCAGCACGCTGGACAGCGCCCGCGCCGCCACCGCCTTATAAAGAGGAGCCCGCAAGGTCACGTGGGAGTCGCCCCGCCCCATTGACGTCAATGTTCATTCATGGGGAAGCGGGCGGGCGCCTAGGGGCGGGAGGACGCCCAACGATTGGAGGATGCTTGCATCTCCCGGCCCGCGCCTGCGCACTGCAGGCCTCGGTTGGAGGGGCGTGCGCTAGCCTAGCACCGGGGAAATGAATGAATGAAGGAATGAATGAATGAAATGCTGAGGCGGGCGGGGCAGGGGGCTATGAATGAATGAAGGAGGGACGAGGAGAAAAGGATGAATGAATGAATGGAAGAATGAATGGAAGGGTGAATGCAGAGCCGCTGCAAGGCGGGAGGGTGGGTTACTGAGCAACCTGCAGCGGCGGGAATCCGGCGAGTGGAATAGGGTGGGGGCACTCCCAGCGTCTGACTGGGCCCCAGTAGGAGATCCATACTGGGAAGGGGGAAGATAAGACTCCAAAACTGAGGAGGGAGCCAGACTCTCCGTCTCCTGACTGCAGGGTCCATGGGAAACACGCCCAAGGACGGCGTGAACCTGAGAGAGGAGGGATGGTTCTGCGCGCCTGCGGGCGCTGTCCTCGGATCTGCGGTGCGGGATGCGTGCCCTGGGCTGGGGCACATGGGTGGATCTTGCGGTTTGAGTGTTCTGGGCGGAAAGGATTCGAGTTGGAAGAGACAGGGGAAAGATTGAGGATATGTGTGCCTCTGTGTCGTGTCTGTCCATGGTCGGTGCGTGTCTGGAGAAAAAGGTGTGTCTGTCCTTCTGTCCAGTTGACTCTGTAGCGTATGTTGGTGCCCCCGCTGTGCCCTTTTTCAGGCCACCTCTCCCCACCACCTTCCTGCTTCTTTCCCACCCGCTGCTAGCCCCCAAAGGACGTTTGGAGGACGAGAGCAGACCTGGTGGGCAGGGGGTTGTGCAGGTGGTGGGGGTGGGGTGACTCAGTTCAATCTCTCTTCGTTGCTTAAAGGGAAGATTTGAACGCGATGCGGGTGGGGGTTGGAGGGTGGGAGTGCAACGTCAGAAATCACCCCTCTCTGCTACCAGACCCCTTGTCCGAATCTCCTGTCAGAGGGCTTGGGGTTGGGGGCTTGGATAGTTAGAGGTTCGGGGGGGGGGACGGTGGGGGGCGATGACGCACAGATTGCGCAAAGAGAATCCATCAGCGAGCCGGGTCCAGTGAAGGGAGACCAGCCGTAGGCGGGGGTGCGGGGAGGACGGAAATGAGGAGGGGGCAGGGAGAGGGGAGGAAGGCAAAGGGAGCAGCCACTGCAGGAATGAGGGGGTGGGAGGGAAGCTCGAGGGGGGCTGCGGTGCAGGCAGAGAGCTGTGCGGGGGTGTGGGCAGGGAGAGGGGGAGTGGAATGACACATGCCAGACACACCAGAACTGCGGACACACGGCTGCCCGTGGGCACATACAGGGCACCCTCGCCCTAAGACTCTGGAAACCAGGATTGGGGCTGCCTGCCAGGAGCTCAGAGACTCTTTCAGAGCCAGTTCTCAACCCCTTCCTCATCTTCCTAGTATTGACCCTCATCCTCTCCTCTCCTCTCTCTCTCTCTCTCACACACACACACACTCACGTGCTTTCCCTCTATAGCCAGCAGTGGCTTCTCGGGTCCATCAGTGGCTCCACTTTCCCAGAAGAAAGCCCATCAGCTCTGTGGGGAAAAAGGTGGGGAGGAGTAGAGAGAGAGGAAAGAGAGAAGAGATGGGGGCAGGAGAGGGAGGCAGGCAGGCAGGCATCTGGAACAGGTAGAAGGATCAGGCTAAAGAGAAAAAAAAAAAAAAGAAAGGAGAACCAAGGTGACTGTGAAGATGCCAAAGAAAGGAGGGAGAGGAGGGGGCAGCAGACCTGAGACTGGGTTTCATCCCCCTCCCCCCAAACTATCCAGGGCCTCCCCCTACCCCTATGGGTTCCCCTCATTCCTCTTCCTCTTCATCCCACCTCCCCTTTATCCTCCCTGCCTGGTTACTGAGAGCAGTGGAATGGGGAGGGGGGGTCACGTTACCTTCCTGAGGAGGATGAATCAGAGAGAGATGGCTCAGACATCTGGTGGGGGGAGGGGAGGCCATCCAAGAGAGAAGGAAAGAGGGAGGGAGGCAAGGGGGACAGACTGAGAGGCTGACAGGGCTAAGAGACCAAGTGTGAGATGAAGGAGACGGCATCTAGAGAAACTGTGTTCCCGTGGGCATGTGTATGTGCGTGTACATATGTATGCACTGTGTTTGTGTGTATAGAGATTAATGAAACAGGGGTGGAAAGAAAGGGAATGGGGAGGCCAATTATGTGTTTAATCAGAGAATGGATAGGCATGGGAGTGTTCCAATTCAAATACGTGAATTTTCTCTTTCAATCTGTGGGGCTGTGTTTTTGCCTGTTTCCAGGTGTCTGTGTGTAACTAAGAGTGTTTGTGGGTCCTGATTCCTCTGAGTGCCTGTATACCTGTGTGGTTGGGAGTCTGAGTGCATCCACTCTGGGCATCTGCTAGTGTCTGAAAAGCGTCAACTGGCTTGGTGCGTCAACAACGTGTGTGTACCCCTGTGTCTTTGTGCATTTCTTTGGATCCTTCCGTGCTTGTTGATATATGTTGTTCTGTGACTTCTACATGCCTTTGATCTTTCCTACCCCTCCCCTACATTTACCTTCATCTCTAAATTTCTGTGCAGGAAAGTCTCAGTATCTTATCCACTCTTCTGCAGCCCCCAAGTTCAAGCTTTTCCCCTTGTTTTTTTTTTTTTTTTTAAGCGTATTCCCTCTTTCCTTCATTCTTCTCCAACCCTTTCTTCCTCCACTCAGCCCAGAAGTCCAGGGGAGCTTCTCAGAAATTGACATCCCAAGAGTCTCAGTCATTATGGCATGGGGGGAGGGGACAGTGAGGTAGAAGCCAAGGGCAACAGTGTTAGTAATTCCACCATCTAGATGATGTCTGCATGGGCTCTGAATCTCTGGGTCTGACTGTGCCTCTCTCCACCCCAGTTCCCTGCCCGGGGTCAGTTCATTCACACACAGCCCACCTCTCAAAGATGTGCGGTGCCTTTCACATCCTACTGCCTCTAGGGGCTTCTGGAAAAGAGCTGGGCTGGGGACAGGTTCCTGGGATTGGAGAGAGGAGGGAGATAGCAGGAAAGAAGGAGCAAAGAGAGACAGAGCTGGAAAAGGCAAAGCTGAGATGGGGAGTCGGAGGAGATGCCTGTTTGCTCTGAGATACTTGTACAAATCCATCCCTATGTCTTTGTTTCTGAATCTCTCATACTCTCCAGGAGGGTGCTAAGAGAAGATGGGGTCCAACCAAGTAGAGATCCAAGCTTAAGGTTTGGAAAACCAAGGAAGAGGGACAGAGCCCTGGGTCTTTTCCCTGAGAAGGTTTGGGAAAGAAGAGGGTAGGGGGTTGGGTCCCCCTCCCCACCGTGCAGCTCACTCCCCTGTCTTCTTCCCTTCCCCCCGACCAGTGACTCACCTCTGCAGCCTTTAATGCGTCAGCGATTGGGGGGGGGGGGGGACCGGCAGGGAGGGGCACTTTATGAGGGAGGCTGGGGTCTTCACTTTGAATTGAAAGAAGGTGCTTAAGAACCCCCTGGAAATGACCTCATTAGAATGCATCATTGTTTATCCCCTGCCCACCCCAGTTCAGGAGGGTTTGGAGTCCTGGGAAGGGGACTGAAAGAAGGCTAGGGGCTACTGGAGGGTCTGGGAAGGATGAATAATAGGAAGGGGGTCCTCACCCTGATTTTTAATCCCAGGGTCCTATTACTTCATACCCCCCACCCACTCCTGGGTGGGGGAGGGGAGACCCAGCAAGACGGGGGAGGGCAAAGCCGCAGAGATGAGTCACCAGGACAGGGAAAGAGACAGAGATGAGGAGAGACAAAGAGAGACAGCTACTGGAAAGACCGAGAAAGGAAGGCACACACACACACACCTTCCCACCATCACACCATGAAGATGGTGGCCACAAACGAACAAGAGAAAGGAGACTGTGTATTTCCATAGTCCTGAGCCAGACTTCTCCAACATCCACTTGCCACACGCACCACTGTCATTCACAGTTACACTGATATCCTGAGGCACACCCTCTTACACAAACACAGTGTCACACCTAGTCTAGCAGAGTCAACCAGACACATGTTGAAGGTGTAACCAAGACAGTGGAATGGAGGTTCAGGTTGAGAGCCCTCGATTTCTTTTACTCGGGATGATGGGAGGGGGTAAAAGCCCTAAAGGA